CTCCATGCTCCTGCCGATCTGCTTTGGAACAACTTGTTGACCAAACGCTGGTAGGTAGCTCCGGCGTTTTTTAACCCAAACGGCATTGTCCGTAGCAATAAATCCTTCCTCGTGATGAAGTCTTTTCCCGTCCTCCTCGGCCATCTCTATCTGGTGGTATCCCTTGAAGGCATCCAAGAAACACAAAATGTCAAAACCCACAGTTGAGTCTACTAACTGTCGATCCTCGGCAAGGGGAAGCAGTCTTTAGGGCAGGCCTTATTGAGGTCTGTGAAGTCCACGCACATCCTTCAAGACTGGTCCTCTTTCTTCACCAGGACGGGATTGGTTAACCAGGTCGGGTAGTATACCTCCAGGATGATCTTGGAGTCCAACAGCTTGCCGATCTCTTTCTTGATCACCTCGTTCCGCTCCGGGGCGAAGCTTCTATTCTTCTGCTTCACTGGCTTGAAGCGGGGGTCTATGTTGAGGTGGTGAACGGCCAGGTCAGTCGGAATCCCGGCATGTCTTCAACCGTCGACGCGAAGACCTGAGAATACTCCCTCAGCAGGGCCTTCAAACTCTCTTTCTCATCAGGGGGTAGCCGCGCACCGATGCGGAGGATCTGGTCAGGCCTGTCCTCCCTCAAGGGTAACTCCTCGATCTCGTCCTGAGTGCCCAGCTGTTGGGCCTCCTCCCCCGGATGTAGGGCTCCAAGCTGGTCGTCTGGACGACCACCTTCTCATGTCTCGGAGCATGGCCAAGTAGCAAGCACTGGCCATTTCCGGATCGCCGTGCACCTTTGCTATTCCTCCCGGAGTGGAAAATTTGACGCTGAGGTGGAGAGAAAGGGGATAGCTCGGAGGGCGTTCAACAGGCCGACCTAAGAACAACGTTGTATGGGGATGGTTGTTTGACCACCACGAAATTGACTGGGATGGTCCGGCATTTTGGGGCCTACCCTACCGTGACCATCAGGGTGATCATTCCCTCCGGTGAATGGGTGGTCCGGTGAATGCCACCGCGGTGTCCGGATCGGGGTCAGCTATCCGTCCTCCAGGCCGAGCTCTTTGAACACCCGATAAAACAAGATGTCCACAACACTTTCTTGGTCGACGTACACCTTCTTCACCCGATAGTTATTGGTGACGACGTCTATTACGATGGCCTCGCGGTTTCCGGATGCCAGGGGAACCGCGTCCCTTGGTCCGAAGGTGATTTCCTCATCCATGCGCAGGCGGTTCAGGGAATCATCTCCCTCGAGGAGAGGTCGCCTGTTTTTCCGAGCTGCATGGCTATCCCTCCCGTGGAGCCCCCAGCGATGGTGTTTATCACCCCTGCTAAGTTCTGGGTGTCCTGGTCGGGGAAGTTGTCCCGGGGAATGTCACGCCGCTCAGGGCGGCCGCGACGCTGGCCCTCGTCCCTGTCCCCGCGGTAGGTGCGCCCTGACTCCTGGGCTGGTTAAACTTGCCGCACAAATCGTCCCAGGAAACTGCGCTGGATCAGATCCTCGATCTCCCTCCGCAGGGCCCAGCACCCCTCCGTGTTGTGCCCGACGTCACGGTGAAAGGCACAATACCGGTTCTGATTCCTTTTGTTCCGGGGGGTCCTCATCTTAGGCGGCCGTTCCCCTAGGCCCTTTGCCTCCATGACTGCCAGGATCTAGACCCTAGGCCGAGTCAGGGGGTATAGCCCTTCTCCGGGAGCGGGGGCGGAGCAGGGGCCTTTTCCTTCGAATGCCGGTCAAAGACGTTTCTCTTGGCCAGGCCATCCTTGATCTCAGAGAGGTTTCCCCGTCCCCTCCGATCTCCGAGCTCCCGATCCGACTCTCTTTTCAGGCGGGCTGCTTCCTCTGCGCTGGCGGCTGCGTGCGCCCTGGTCAAGAAATTCTTCCAGATTTCCAGGAGGCTTCTCGGCTAGCTTGTAGAAGAATTCCTCTACCCTGATCCCATTCGTGAAGGCGGCCATGACCACCTTCTCATCCTTGTCCCTGATCTGCAGGCTCTCCGTGTTAAAGCGGGTCATGAAATTCCTCAGTGACTCGTCTGGCTTTTGTCGGATCGCCATCAGGTGAGCCGCGTTTTTCGAATAAATCTTCGAAGAGACGAATTGGGTGACGAACTGCCTAGCCAGCTCGGTGAAACTTCGGATGGACCCCGGCGCCAGGCCCTGGAACTAGAGCCAGCCTTTCTCTTCAGAAACATGGGGAAGGTCTTGTAGCGGATTTCATCCGCGGCGGTTTGCAGACGCATGTGCGTCAGGAAGACCGAGAAGTGGTCCTCCGGGTCGGTTGAAACGTCATACAACTCAATATTCGGGATCTTGAACCTCCGGGTAGTGGGTAGTCCTCTATCTCCCGGGTAAAGGGAGAGGTCGTGTAGTTGTCCTCGTACAACTGCGGTCGCAGGATCTGCTCGAGTTCGTCTCAGACAGGCTTCCACTGGGGAAGGTTGTGCGGCCGGCTCTTGACAGATCGAGCGGGGGAAACATTCAGGGCCGTTCCACACGGGCTTTCGTGGGGAGGGTTTCTCGGACGGCTCTCTGCGGACCGGTCGCGGGACCTCTCACTATCTCCGACTACCGAGGCCCGTGGGCGAGGGGGGTCCGTGGCCGCTTCCTTCTGGAGGTTGGTCCTGTGACTCATCCTTTGAGAGGATGAGCGGGGTTCCTTCTCCTTCGCCTTGGAAGTCGGTGCACCCCCGGCCTCACCCCCTTCCTTCGCCTACCGGATTATGTCTTCCAATATGGGGAGATTCTCCACCATGAACTGAAAGATCTGCTGTCTCCGCTTCCTCTGAAAGGGCTGGAGCCCCCGGCGTCCCGAGCCGCCTCGGCCTCCATTCGTCGGGACCCCTCGCCGGCTCCAGGGTCGGCGTTCTCTACAGTTCGTTTGGAACGTGTTCTGGCCATCAACACAACTTCAATTACCTTGCGTTTCCCATAGACGAAGAAGCGCTGAGCTTCCCCGAGCCGAGCTGACCTGATGAGTTCGGCGTGCTGATGATGAGAACGTATCCCGGCCCTGCAAAACAAACAAGAAGTAGTCTCTATGGTGACTAACTGGGGAGCCCGAGGTGGTCCCCGAGAGCACTCCGACGGTCAAGTTAGTTTTTCGGTGAGCGGAATTCACGGAAAGAAGAGCAGTCGGGAGTAATTTGCCAATAGTGAGCGTACCTTGTGTAATTGGTGTGCGTTACCATTTATACCTGCTTGTGAGTCCGACCTCCGTACGTTTCGGGACCTACCCGGGATAACCTCAATCCCGCGTTGAGGGGGATTCTCCCTGCCCTCGGCGGGATTGTTTCCCAGAGCCTCTCAAAGCCCTAGTGATGTTGCGCCCCAGGATGGTTGTCAGGGGCCTGGGGCCCAGGCCCAACTCCGACTGTCCTGGGCTGCCACGTGTCTAACCCAGGATGGAGCCTGCAGCACTTTTTGTAGAATGTAATGATGTGAGATAAAAATATAATTAAAATATGAGAAAAAATATTCTTACAAAAATTTAAAATATTTATAAAAATGCAATCCAAACAGGGTCAAGAATTAATGATTGCAATAATGGGCTTACTCGGTGGCATAGTTGGTAGGCTTTGGTTGTGAGAAACTTGGGCCCAATAGATAGTGCTCGTCTTGGTTTTCTGGACTATCCTAGGATAAATATTGTGTCTAATGTCTCTCTTGCTGGGTATAGCTCAAGTAGCTTCAGAGAAGAATATAAGAACAACACAAATTGCAAGCAAAATTCAGCAAAAGTATTGTCATAAGAGAAACTATAAATATATCTCTATATCTAAATGAGTCACGAGTTTGGTGTTAAAAAATTATGCCATTTTTGTTATTTCAGATATACCTTTCAAGATTCAGCATAATAATCACATCCTATCAGCAAAAATTTTCACTCTTATGTAACTACTGCCATTATACGCATTCTCCATGTAGACCTCCACTATTCAACAACCTATTAATTAGCTAAAACCACTAATAACCTTTTTCCTTTTCAAAAGTAGAAAAAAATGTTATACTCCATTTGTAAGACAATTAAAATTCTCAAATAATCACCAATAAATAATATCTTTTTCTTTATGAATTTTTTTAATGTGCCTCTCCCACAAGTAATTAATAATGCATTTCTAGGATAGTGTCATTTATAAGACTACCAAAATTTGCAATAATCACCAATAAATTATATCTTTTTCTTTATGAATATTTTTTAATGTGCCTCTCCACTAGTATATTACTAAAAGGATTTCAAACTGAAAATTTTAATCTTTTATCTTTACCAAAAACAAATCAACATAGGATCTCAAATGGAAAATTGAAAATCCCTAACAAAATTAGTCAAGTGCAAGGCATCGAACCGCTAAAAATGAACATTTTCATCTATTATTAAAGATCGTATCTAATTTTGTATTTTAGTAATTTAAATTCTCATTTCAAAACAAAAAAAACTCTCATTTTCACAACTTTTAATGAGAAATTAGAAAACCCTAATAGACATACAAGAAACAAAATTGAATATGACCCTCAAGATGATGAACCAAAACTATCTAATTAAACCAAAAAACTATCATTTCTAACAATGCATGTACGGTGTACGGTGTACGGTGTATGGTTTTTTTTCTTTTAATTTTCATTAAAGATCCTAAATTAGCCTTCTTTTGTAAAGGTAAAGGATTTAAAATAGTCATAATAAGATAAAGGACTAAATTGGTCAAAACCCAAAAGTTGAAGGATCAAAATAGCCATTTCCAGCTAAGAGAGGCGGCGGTGTTCGAATCTCAGCCAAATCCGATATGCACTACTACTAGCTGATTGGTGATTTTCTAGCACCATCCAATTATCTCCTTTCGTGTTTGTAATCTGTTTGATTTTGAGCTGAATGAGAATTACAAATTAATGCTCACCGCAGATCAGTTTGTTACCTTTTCCCCAATATAAGATGGGGTATGAACAGCATCAGGCATCAAGGCTGAAACAAAAACAGCAACTGAGATCTTCTCGGGTAGGTTCCATGGCAAGAGCCAAGCATAACCACCATAGCTATGACCTACTAGTATTACCTTCTCATCAGCTGGAATTGCAGCCATGAGTTCCATTAATGGCTCAGCATAGTCCTCAAGTGTGTGGATCTCGTGGATGCTTTTTGTGTTGATGCTGGAGGCAGATAGATCAACCGCCGTGACCCTGTGCCCGCCGGCTGACTCGAGCAATGGTTTCAGCTTGTACCAAATCCAAGCTCCATGGCAAACACCATGTACCAAAATAAAATGCTTCTGTCGCTTGTCACTGGAAATTTCCATCTTGTTACGTTTTGATTTTTCAGAAGTAGCAAATGATCATGAGACTTCGTATGTAATGAGGGTGGCCAACTAATTACTAATATAGTCTACGTAGAATTCAAGGTTCACACTTAAAAAGAAGCATATTTTATTTTATTTGATTTTTGGCAAACCTGGAAAAGGATGGAGGGGACATAAATCTTATCTCAGAAACCCAATTCTTTTACATGAATTTGTTAAAATATAGAAAACTAAAGCTATCTAACCTAATTAAAACTTGAAAATTAGCTGGTAAAAAGAAGCATATATGGTCAACCGTACCTTTTTTCTTAATTGATGTAAATGGTTGATGCAACTACTTTGCTATCTACATCTTCTGTTTTATTCATTTGCTTGTCATGTTTGTGGAAAAAAATGAATTCTTCCTTTAAGGCTAGCAAGTTTGCGGTCAACATGGGTGAGCTACAAGGACCGGCGCTTGGGTGGAGCTTTATGCTGATAAGCAGAGGTATCAAGATGGGTAAATCCGGTGAGTTTTGATAGATCATAATTAGCTAATTGGTATAATTGGATCAATTCATTTATATTCATTTGATAAATAAGTCATCAATTTATATATAATTAATAAATGGATATGGATATACCGAATTACCTATTTATAATTCATGTGAAATTTTATTTTATTTTTTGTATGTTGTTTGATAAGAAATAATACATTTTAGTGTCATTAGATGGATAAAAAATTCAAATTTATTTGTTTAACATCCACTAGAAATTGAGTTTAAATGTATAATTATTTTTAAATAGATATAAATGGATGAACTGAGTCAACTCATTACCCATCAATTAAACGAGTTTTATTGGGCATACGTTGAATACAAAAAAAAAAGAAAGAAAAAAGAAGAGATTAATTGGGTACTCATTTAAACCAATTCAAAATTCACTGCATATCCAAGTCCACTTATTAGTAGATGGATTTGACCGAATTAACATAATTAGGTAGGTTAACACCTCTACTCATAAGGGTGGATGATTCCTCCCTCAAATTCTGAGAAATATTTATAATTGTTCTTAAAGCTAGCTGTATTAGTAGTTTGCACCCCTTTGAAACCACAAAATTTATATATTTGCACCAAATAATTTCCAATATAGAAATGTCTATGTAGATTCTATTAAATATGCATTTCTTTACATTTAGAATGATAAAATTCTTTAAATAAATATAAGATTGGTGAACAAAATCATAAGTGTAATAATAATAAATTTAATTCAAGCTAGGGTTTATTTTTAAATATCTATGGTCATAATATAAACAAGATAAGAACATTTTAATATAGAATTACTAGCACATACTGGGCCTTTTCCTGTAGTTATTCACTAAATTGCTCTACACAAAGATTTCCGCATAGGAAACTATTTGAGTGCCAATAACAAGAAAGAGAAGATGAAAAAAAGGAAAACAAGGAAAGTAGAAAGAGATTCAAAGGATTCAAAGGAGTGAAGAGTAGAATGAAATGGAGAGTAAGAAACACTATTCTTGCATATATTTATATTAAAGATAAAAAAATATACATGCGATAAAAATGAAATTATGAAGAGAAAGAATTGGAGAAGATAAACTTGAAGACGCAGAAACTAAACTGAAAGTATAGAAGCATAACGACAACAGAAAAAAGGAAGATGACGGGAGAGGTGCTCAAAAATAGAAATAAAAGACAGAATCTTTAAAGTCATGCTTGGAACTTTTCTAGGATAGGTTTTTGACCCATAGATGTTTTAAATGACTATGAATAGCCTCATAAATTTTTCTTATTCAAATTTGATGTCTTAATTTTCATATTCCTTCAAATATATCTTGATAATTTAATTTGGACTCGCTAACTTATGTTTGAAATTTTAAAGAGCTGATTACATTTATGTCCCCTAAGGCTTGGCCAAACTAAAGATCTATCCCTAAGGTTAGAGCAAATAACATTAGCACCCTTGTCAATAACAACATCTAAATTCCATCATTAGCAGCAGCAAAATGCAAAAATTGCCCCTCCTTCCAAGTTCATTGATTATAAAACCTGATAAAAGAAAAACAAAAAAATAGGAGTTAAAAGGGAAAAAATTATTAAAAAAATTACAGTTTGCATGAAATTTAGATTAAAAAAAAGAGAAAAAAGGAATATTCTCTTAATTACGTACCAGGGAAAAAGAAATAGAAAATAAAAAGCATAAGACCCATTTATAAAGGAAAAAAATTGTATATACAAAAAAAAATCAAAAGAAAAATAGAAAAGAGGAAATACTTGCCATGAAAGAAGAGGGAGATCAGTGAAAAAGGTGAGGGGTAGGGAACTCTACTGCTAATTTTTCCATCACCTTAACCTTCTCAACATCTTCATAAGCCATCCTTACCCACTGTTAAGACCCAATATGGGACTTGGAACCGACATCAGAAGTATGGGATTCTAGCGTGGAGTTTATATGATTTTGAACTGTTTCACTTCAACAGTTAGCTTTTGAGGTAGGTTCTCTTAAAGTTCATATCAATTGGCACTAGAGCCATCCACCATCACTCCCAGTTGCAATTGTGCAATGTGAGTGGTGATACTTGCATAGACGATTGTATCTTCTCTTTTTAACCTATAGCATACGAACACAAAAATTGGATTTTCAACAGATATACAACTACATGCTGAGAGGAAAAATAGATATTGATTTGGATAGCAAGATCTATTTTACGTGTCAATGTTTGAGGTTAAATTTTGTTTTATTTTTTCTTTATTGTGTTCTTTGGTTCCATTTTGAGTTGCTTTCCAATTTTTATAATATGAAATTCAAACTTTATCCATTCATGAAGTTAGCCAACTTCATTTCTGTGAGACTATGGTTGAAGCCTGAACGTTGAAAATAATGATTTTTGAGTGTAAAAAGTGAGGGAGAAGAACAAATAAATAAAGACCTTTGGACTTTTTTTTTTAATAATGACCTTTGGACATTTTTGAACTTCCATTGCATATTTTGATGGCATCACTGACACTTGAACAGTGAGAAGCTTGTTGACCGGTAGGAGAAATGTATTTGTTAAAGGTTTAGTAGTTTGTAATTTGGTCTAACCTCAGGGATTGGTTGATAGTTTGGTCAACTACAAGGGAAGTAAATATAATTGATCCTGTTTTAAAAATATCAAATTGAGTTATATAAAAGGTTTTAAATTGTACGATACGTGTGAAGACAAATCATATTAGTACATATTTACATGAGGCTTTATACGTTAACTAGTTAAATCCCTGAATACACTTACAATTTCATGCTAAGGCAACTTGATTATCAACATCAATCCAACCGGTTGAATCCTTTGAGCACTCCCAGTTTAAGTTAAAAAATGTAGGATGTGACAGAGTACAAATAATAGAGATAATTTCAGAAACTCCTCTCGAGGTTTCTAACAGTCTCACTATTCTCCCTTAAAATTTTAAAAATATTATTAATCTCCCTAAAATTAATGTTCTTTTAACAAATTAGCCCAATTAAAAAAGATCAACAATAAAAAAATGATTTTAAGAGGAAAAACACTTCATACCAAAAGTATCCCATAACTTATTATTAGTTTGTTGACTTAGAATCCAAAGGGAATATTAGTTAAAATAAAAAATAAAGACTAAAATCTATCATGAGCATAATAGAATTTAGCAACACTGACTATTTTTCACAAAATTGCATAAAATAGCAAAATCAAAGTATTGGAGAGGAAAACTTATTAATTTGGAATCAAGATTTATACGTAAAATTCCTAAACTCTTAGTATCAAAATTTGAAAGATTTTGAATAGGAATTGAACAAGACAAAGTTTGGCCTTTTCAAGAAAAAGCATCACAATAGATGGCTAATCATAACAAAATATAAAATATGCTAATATATGTTTGTTTTTTCGAATTATATGTTTAACTTACGGGGTCCATTATTTCATATGCTTAACAAGAAATTTGCATCATTTGTAATTAAAAAAAAAACAACTCTCAAGCAACGTTTGGGTTAATAAAAAGGTATGATTTTAATGGAAAAGCACATAAATAAAAGTAGAAAATTTTTTTTCTAAACCTCATGCCTGAGTTATGTATATAAATAAAAGAAAAGAAGCACCAAATATTTTGGAAAAGAAAGGAAAGAATAGATTATGTGCAGTTGTATTTTATTTGTAACTTAATAAAATCTAATTGTAAGCATATTTTACTACTTTATCCTCTTTTTAGTGTATTTTCATATTCATCTTGTTATTCTTTTGAAAAATTTATGAAATAATAATATTTCAATAGGAATTTTAATCTTTTTTAGGAGAAAGAAATTACAAGAACTACTAAAATATAGAAAAAGAATTTTAAAATGTTAAGAATTATTGCTACAAAATTTAGTATTCAAGATTTTCAAATTTTTATATTATTATGGTTAATTTAGTACAAGTGACTCAATTGTTTCTCTCCATATAAGTTCGTAATATTTTCTAACTTGTAAGGATAGTAAAGTCATTTGACCATTCATCAGGTAAGCAATGGGCCACAAATGGTTTATAGGGGAGGTAAGTAATATTGTCAAAAGTTTAGGGAAGGACAATAAAATTGTCAAACATCTCAAGGGAGGTTTCTGAAATTATCCCTAAATAATTAGATGAATGGCATATGAAAGAATTGTGATACCCCAATTTGGATAGGCCGGATAGGCCCAATAGCTTTTGGGTGTAAATCAGGGAACTAAAATGCTTGAACCCAATGTTAAGCCTAATTTTATAGATCATACTTTCCAACTATCCAAAATGTTCAGTCTGGCAAGAAAGATAAAGAACTATAAGACAAGCTTGATAGACTGGAGTAAGGCAAGTAAGACAAACTTTGGGAAAGAGATAAAAGCATTAAAGCAACAGATTATGGAATCAAAAAATGGAAAGTATGATAAGAACAAGGGGATCATTGTTGAACTGAAGTTGAAGCTATGTCAGGCTTACAAACAAGAGGAGATTTACTGGGCACAAAAAACAA